CCCATGCGGCTCACCTTCTCTGCCCTAGGAGCTTGGGATGGCACCAGGGGAGCTTCCTTCCAGGTTCTGGGACTGGCCCAGCTTCTCTGCCCTAGGAGCCTGAGATGGAGGCAGGGGAGCTTCCTTCTGGGTGCTGGGACCAGCTGAGCTTCTCTGCCCTAGGAGCAGGGGATGGAGGCAGGGAGCTTCCTTCTGGGTGCTGGGACCAGCTCACCTTCTCTGCCCTAGGAGCCCTGGATTTTAATCTTTATTGAGTTCAAAATATTTTCTAATTTCTCCCAAGGACTTCTTCTTTGAAGGGATTAAAGTATGTACTTAATTTTCAAGTCTTTGGAGATTTTCCAGTAACTTTCTGATTTTAACTCCTAGTTTAATTTTTTGATGGTCAGAGAACAGCTTTATATGATTTCAGTTCTTTTAAACTGTTTAAGGTTTGTTTTATGACCTAGGATGTAGTCCATCTTGGTAAATGTTACATAGGCACTTGAAATGAATGTGTATTATGCTGTCATTTCATGAGATACTCTAAAACAGCAAATAAATCTTCTTGATCGTGTTGTTCGCTTATTCTATATAATTGCTAATTTCCTTCCTATGAAATATCTCAATTACAGTACTTGAGAGGTGTTCTAAAATCTCCTACTGTGATTGTAGATTTGTTCATTTCTCCTTCAGTTCTAACAGTTCTGTCGTATATATTTAAAACTTAACTGTTAGGTAAATATATATATATATATATATATATATATATGTTAGGTAAAAATATATATATATATGTTAGGTAAATATATATGTATTATATATATATATGTATATTCAAGTTGTTATGTCTTCTTAATGAATTGGTTCTTTTACCATTTTGTAATATTGCTCTACCTTTGACATTTTCCTTGCTCTGAAGTCTACTTTGTCTGTAGTAGTACAGTAATTCATTCTTTATCTTTTTTTTATTTTAGCCAACTTATATCATGATGAAGTTGAATCATTGGGGGCAGAATATAGTTCAGTCTCACTTCTTTATCCTTTCTTACAATCTCTATATTTTTTAAATAGTATGCTTAGTCTATTTACACTTAATGTAATTACTGATGCATTTGTATTTAGGTCTTCTACTTTATTTCTGTTTCCTCTTTCCTACTTTCTTTATTATTTTGTGCCTTTCAGAATTACATTTACATTTATTAAATTTTTATAGATATACATATCTCTTTGTATAGATCTTTTTGTATGTGTTATAATATATATATTTATATATATATAACTTTTCACAATTGAATTGTAATTAATACTAACATTCCAAATAGAATGAAACTTTACTTCCATTTAGGTAAATGTCACATATTTTGTGGCTATGTATATTAAAAATTTATCAGACAATATTACAATTACTGCTTTCAGTCATTATTCATATGTTAAACACTTAAAAGGGAAATAATTGTTGATACTTAGATATTTACCATTTCTATTCCTCTTCCAAGTTTCCCTTGGGTACCATTTCTTGTCCATCCATAAAACTTCCATTAGCTTTTTTTTTGGTGTAAAGGTCTCACTATGTGGCTCAGGCAGGCCTTGAACTCAATATATAGCTCAAGCTGGCCTCGAACTTGCAGCCATCCTCCTGCCTCAGCCTTCATGCACCACCATCCCTGGCTCCATTAGCATTTCTTTTAGAGAAAATCTGCTAATGAACTCTTTTGGTTTTACTTTATGTACGAATGTCTATTTTACCCTCATTCTTGAATAGTATTTTTACTGGATATAAAATTCTTTGTTGACATAGTATTTCTTTGAGCATTTTGAGAATGGTCCACATCTTTCTGACCTAGTTCCGGATGAGAAATCTGCAGCAATTGTATACATAATGGATCATTTTTTACAAGTTACTTTCAAGATTGTTTTTGCCCTCAATAGTTTAATTATAATGTGTCTGGTCTGGGATTTTCTTATGTTTATTCTGTTTGGAATTTGCTAAGCTTCTTCAACCTGTAAATTCCTATCTTTTGCCAATTTTTGAAAGTTTCTTTTATTTCCTCCAGTATTTTTTTCTGCACCACATTATTTCTCTTCCCCTTCTGAGACTTCGAGTCATGAATGTCTTACTTATAAGTATTGTCCTACAGATCCCTGAGACACTGTTAAATTTTTCTGCTGTTCAGAAATCAGATGATACCTATTACTCTATCTTCAAGTTCTCTCTTGCCTTTGTCATCTCTATTGAGCAAATCCAGAGAAATTTTAAAAATCATTTTATATATTATTTTAGTTCTAAGACTCCATTTTTTTCTTCTTTATATCTTCTGTTTCTTTGCTGATACTTTGTATCTTTACATTTACTTCAAAACTGTTTGCCCTCACTTTTAGGAGCATGGTTATTATGTTTATTTTAAAGTCATTCTCTGCCTTTGTGTCCTCAGGGGATTGGCATCTGCTCATTAATTACCTTTTCTATTTCCAAGTGAAATTTTCCTGGGTCTTTCGCTGAGTAATGTGGGACTGTAGCCTTTGCCGTGCTTTACAAATCTGCCCACATAGGCACCACCCAGTGGCCACTCTCGGACTGGGACATTGGTCTTGCCCAGAGTTTAATTCTCAAAGACTGTGGTATGATGTTTAAGACAAGATCTGTATATACAGATCTTTGGGAAATTGCTTTCTACAGTTCTTCCCTCTTCGTGGCCCACTTCCTTGTCCTCTGGCCAAAAACCAGGGGCTTTGGTTTCCTTATTCTGCCATGTCCTTCCCCTAATTGTGTCTGCATTTGGGGCCAACCAGAGAAAATAGAAAGAGAAAAAACAATGAGTATTTACCCCTACACTCTTGGGATTGTAGCATCTCTGATAAAAGAAAAAGCCTTAAGTCCCTGCCTGACTACTAACATCACTGCTGCCACTGCTACCAACAGAATTGCCTGGGTCCTGAGTCAGAAAACAATAGGAAAAAAGGAAAATAGAACATTAGGGATTTCCTCTTTTCCCTCAGCCCCCACCCTACCTTTCACTCAAGCAAAAGCACGCTCTTGAGTGCTTTCTCTCTGAACCCATTTTGCACTTTTGGGTTTGGAGATGCCTTTGAGTCCAGTCTAGCTGATGCCGGGGGGGAAAGAGAATGGAAAACTCATTGAAAGTTTGGTGACACTTTAAATACTCGCCCTTTTCCACAGTCTTCCTTCTGCCGCTGCAGATAGCCTTCCCAGGCATTCTGCCCAGGATGATAGTTTCATTCGGTGGGAGACAAGCACAGTATACTGACTCCACTATTTCACCTTTCCTAGATCTAGAAACCATCTGCTTGGTTTGTTGTTTCAGTTTTTTAAAAAAAGAATTACTTGTATATACAAAAGAAAGCTCTAAAGTGAATAAGTTCTTGGCAGCCTGGCTGAGAGTACTTCCTCTCCCTCTGCAGGGACACAGCTGACTGTGGAGGTCCACCCTCGAGATGCCATGCCCCAGTTTCTCAAGAAGTTCTCCTTGGCTAAACGTATGTATGTACAGGGCTACTCATGGTGGAGGGCTGCCAGGGAGGATTGAGGGCAGCAGGGTGGGCCAGATCCCAGCCTTGGCATCTTCTGAGGAAAAGGGAAGATAAGCCCAGTCCCACAACTTCGAAAAGGCAGAGGCATGACAGCCTCATGTTCAGAGACTCTCCACACCCAGGTTCCACCGTTCTTGTGTCTCTGGAATGAGGCCTGGGTGACACAGTCATGTAGCTAAAGGTGCATTTTATCACAGGAGTGTTGCTGGTATTTTTTAGACACCATTTGTTGACTGTCTAAGAAGAGCATGCACAACGCTAAGTAATTTCCATTCACTGACTTTACTATCCTTGTAACAGTATTATTGTCACTTTTTTTAGATCAGCAAAGTGAGGTTCTGAACAGCAAAATAATTGCCCAACTTACCCAACTAGGATGTAAATCAGAACTCAGATCCAACTCTGAAGCCTGTGGTCTTAACCATGGTCCTTGGCTGATTCAATGCCTTGTGCACTGCACAGGTCAGGCCCATGAGACCTCCTCCATTACCTTGTAGAGCTTCTACCTGCATGTGTCCAACTCATGGCTAAACAGAAGACTTTAGAAGAGTAAAAGCTAGTTGGTCTTTTCATTCTCTTTCATTCCATCAAAGGATGGAGGTGGTAACAAAACATTGGTGTGAGAAATAAAAGACCACTTCTTCTCAGAATGACCTGTATATGTTTGCAATCTTTTGTTGTTATATTTACAGCCTAAAGTGACTTTTAGGGACATAAAGCACCTGCCTTGGCATCCCCACCTCCTGTTCTGCCTGTTTCCATCAGGGACCCAACCTTTCTGACCTAGTTTCAAATCAGCAAGAAAAGTTTCTTTTAATTTCCCACAGAGCCTAACTACTGGCAACCATTTGACTTTAAACTGTTCCGAATTCACAGGATACAGGTGTCATTTGTTAACTGCAATACTTGACCTTTCTAGATCTCGAGCACCATACAGACTGTTTGCCCATAGTCATTTCTCGTCCTGGGGTTATCTAGAGGGAAACTCTTTATCCTTTCAACATGCCCAGTGGTGTTCAAAGATGTCAGGAGAATGAGAGAAGGGCAGAAGCACCAGGCTCCAGGTGGGCCTGCTCTATACCCAAGGCAGTGAGGTTGGAGCACCTCCTGCCATAGACTGCAGCTCCCTTTCCTTTTGTCCAGTCCTTGGTTCCCAGTCTTCCCCCATCCACCAGGAAGCTCACCCCAATCCCAGCAGCAGTTTGATGGAGGTTGGGGACAGGACCAAGGGGGCTGAAAAAGAGATTGAAGAGAAGGAATCAGAATCAAGATCCACCATGTGGAGAATCATCAGAGCTTACATTTCTTTTTCTTCTAAAATGACTCTACTGACTTTTGGGAAATTGTAGGTTTACAAGGTGATAAAAATGGAAACACAAGACCCCGGCAGCCTGGAAACAAAGACGCCCATGGTGAGTTCCAGCTCCTCCCCAGGGCCATTCTCAAGAGAATATATCTGTTAGCTTTGTGCGCCAATCTCAGAGCAATTGCCAGTGGCTTCTTGGGAGGCCTCTGGGAGTCTGAGGTCACCTCCAAATTTGAAGAGAAGAGTGTCATGATTGATGAACTATTTCTTCTATGGACACAGGTGGAAAAGCGAAAAGTTCATGTATCAGAGGTCATCCCAGAGCTAATGATCACCCCTTTCTAGTAACAAAGCTGCCCAATGCAAGAAACATTAAAACTGAATTCAGAATTATGTTAACCTTGGGGCCAGGGATTTAGCTCAGTGGCACTGTGCCTGCCTCACAAGCGCAAGGCCCTGAGTTCAATCCCCAGTACCAAAAGAAAAAAAGAATCACGTTAACCTTAAACAGAATGCCAGACGTCTGTAAGGTAGGAGGCAAGTGAACAAGCAGACTAAGGCAGAAAAAGAGACACTGAATGGGAATGGGATGATAGATGCCTGAGGTTGGAATCCTGCTTTTCCCCTCACTTGCCTTCCCTGGGCCTCAGTTTCCCCACTCAGTAGGGAAGATACCATTCAAGGCTTGGTGTAGTTCTGGGCTTCTTCCTACTGTTTTACTTTAATATTAGAATAATTTAGTTACTCTTACTGATGTTTTAAATATATTTATGCAAAGTCATATTTGGATCTTGTATAATCTCAGAAAGTAGATTTCATGAGGTACAAATTATTATGGAATTTTTTAAGTCCTCTTTATTATACAAGGGTCATATTTTTACAAGAGTACCTTTCAAATACCAGTGTATTTAATGTGAAATATTAAACACCATAAAATGAAACCAAGAAAAGAGAAAACTAGTAAATTAGAGTCTCCAATTCCATTTTAGAAATGCCATCCTTCTTCTTTAGGCAAGGGGAAAGCTATACTGAGTAGAGACATCTTAACTTTGAAGTCCAATCCATAGCCACTTAGGTTACCTGGCAGCTCCTGAGAATTGGGGATGCTCAGCAGGAGTCTGGTGGCATGTCCCTCTTTCTGAGGGCATGGCTAGAAGGTAGCTTCATTGGACCCCATAGGGCAAGGGTTCATGATGATCTAAATCATGGTACCCAGCAAAAATATCCCATCTGCAGTACCAGAGGGGTGAGCAGGAGCCAAGATAGGGCTGGCCCCTGAGCTGCAGCTCCACCTTCCAACACTGACCACAGCTCTGCTGGCTCCCATGGGCAATCCTGGGGGCTGCTGGTCGTGTGTCAGCATCAGTCTTGACTCTTCCTTCCTCCCTGCATCTCTGTCCCAGTGACATGATTTGAAGCCCAGTCTCTGAGCAGGAGGCACCTAAGAGAGGCTGGACATGGGTGAGTGATTGTGAGGCCCACCTCCCTCGTGCCCCTCTTCAGAGCACTCCTAGCACCAGAACGCCACCCCACAGATGGGTGTGTTGGGGTGCTCCAGTCTCCAGCTGGCCATGGATAAGAGAAGAAGTCTGTCTGGGAGCCAAATGAGCCTCACCCCAGCTCATAGCCATGGTGCAGACCCACACTCTTGAGTCTGTCTGCTGCCAGCAGCATTGCCTGAACACTGCCCACACAAATCTCCAGAAAACTAAATGGCAGGAAAGGGAATTCCATCATCAGTATGTCTGGGAACTGTGAGGCTAACTGAAGTCAAGCCAGTTTTTTAAATGCTGATTTCTCAGGGTCTGCAAAATAAGCTCCTATTCCCTCTGGATCTTCAAAAGGACCACAGGAGCTGCCATGTTCCCCAAACTAATTAGACCAAGGAACCCTTCTAGGAGATACAGCCAGTCACAGGGTGTCAAAGAGCTACCAAGGCCTGGACTAAGCAGCCCTCCTTGGAGGTCTCAGCTGCTGATAGAACCTCCCTGTCTTTCCAGCCTACCCCTGGGATCGGTCCAGCCTAAAGTCCATGCCCCTGGACCTGCAGCAGTTTGAAAAAGTGGACACCTATGCCTCACAGGTAAGAGAGCTGGCCCTCTGGTCAAGGGCTTTCAAGCCTCCCTCGGCCCCTACTACAGGCATCCTGAGTCACTGAGATGGATGGCCCAGGGGAGCCTTTTCACAGCATGTGGATGGGGAATAGAAGGCCTGGGCACAGACGCCTGCCCAAGACCCAGGGTCATTCCTTTTCCCGGCACCACCCAGCATCCTATGCTTCCAAACAGGCTGCACACCCCTCTGGCCAGCCTGCTCTGCCTTCCCCCTGCCCATCTGGGCATCCCTGCTGCTGAGCTCTGCCAGTCCCAAGCCCATGGAGGAAGGGAGGGAGAGGATGGGAAAAGACCATGGGTACACATGGCGAGAGCCCCTGTGACCACAGCCACACTCACCCCAGAGTTCATGAGCTGCCACCATCTCCTGCCTCAGACCTGGGTATGTCTGGGTGGGTGGGGGAATCAGAAGTGATCCTCCAGCGGGGACTGGAGGTCTCAGCCTGACTCCACTGGGTGAAGGATGGAAGAGAAGGTGGATGAAGATCCCCAGGTGGCTGGCATAGAGGGGGAGGCTCGTCATGCAGCACTGAGGAAGAGCCAGGGAGGGCATTTTAAGGTGGGAGAGCAGGGGGACACCGACACAGGGCAGCCAGGAAGTGGAGAGACAGGACAGGGAAGGCACTGGCTGAAGAAGAGCAGTCACTTCAGAGCAGGAGGCCCGGACCAAAGCCAGCAGAGAGATGGCTGAAGCCAGAGGGAGGAGCAGGGCCTCAGCAGTAAGCAAGTTATGCCTAGACTCAAGAGAAGATGAAGCCAGGTCATCTGTGGAGACTGGAGGAGATGGTGGGATCAGGAGGCTAAGGAGAGTGAGGCCTGTAGTGACAGAAAGGATGGGACAGGCTGCTGGCCAGGTGAGTACCAGGAGGCCAGCTGAGGCCAGAGACCCAGCCACAGAACAGGGAAGGCCAGGAAGAGGCTGCCAAAGGACCAGACCACAGAACAGCAGTCCAGGGGCCAGTCAGGACTCCAGAGTGTGGTGTGGGCCTGTGATGTGTCAGACACAGTTCTAGGCACTGAGAGAGGGACAGGGAAAAAAACCTAGAGAGTTAGGGTAGGCCATGGAAGAGAATGAAGAAGACTGTGGGAGAGTGGAAGAAAGAGGGGCCCATAGGTGTCCTTGAGGTCAAAGCACTATGGTGGTAGGGGTGACTAGAGGGTGGGGTCCAAGAGCTCTCATGTGGATGGCAGAATGGTTCCAGTGAAAGCAAGGCCAGAGAGACCTTCAGAGTGCAGCTGGTGAGACAGGCACACACTGCAGCTGCCCCAGCTCCTCTGGAAAGTTGACGAGGATCAAGGAGCCTTTCTAGCAGTCCCAACCCGGTTTCCCCTGGAAGGCCCCTGAGAGAAAGGCTATTTTGTTCTTTTATCATTATTATTGTGGTGAAATACATGTAACATAAAACTTGTCATTTCAACAGGCATGGTAGTGCATGCCTGTAATCCCAGCCCTCAGGAGGCTGAGTCAGGAGGCTCCCTGCCTCAGTTCGAGGTCAGCCTCAGTTATATAGTGAGTTCAAGGCCACCCTGAACTACATAGCAAGACCTTGTCTCAAAAAAACAAAATCAAACAACAACAAAAAAACCTTGACATTTTAATTATTTTTAGTATAAAATTCACTGGTATTGATTACATTCACGTTACACAACCATCCCTATCTATTTGCAAACCCTTTCATCATCTGCAAGAGCAAATCTTTACTCATTAAGAAATGACTTCCCATCCCCCTTCCCATACCACCCCCAGTAATCTTTACTCACAGTCAATGAAGTTGCCTATTCTGGATATTTCATTAAGTGGAATCGTCTGCTATTTGTCTTTTTGTGTCTGACTTATTTCACTTGGCATCACATGTTAGATGTAATAAACTTAATTGTTTCTTTTTCTGGTTGAATAATGTTTCACTGTATGTATATACCACACTGTGTATATCTATTCTTCTATGGATGGATGTGGCAGTTGTTTCTACCTTTTGGCTATTGTGCTGCCAGTGAATATTAGTGGACAAACGTCTGACTGATTTCTTGTCTTCAGTGTTCAAGGATATATATATCTTGGAGTGGAAGTGCTGGATCACATGGTAATTCTCTGCTTAACTTTCTAAGAAACCTCCACAGTGTTGTTCACAGCAGCTGCACCATTTTACATTCCCACCAGTAACCTAGACATCCTAGTAGGTATAAAGTGTTAAGTCATTGTGTTTTTGATTTGCATTTTTCCCATGACTAATGAATGATATTAAGGATTTTTTCCATGTGCTTATTGGCTGCTTGTGTATCCTTTTTGAGAAATGTCTGTTTGATCCAGTCCTTTCACCCATTTTTGTGTTGGATTGTCCTTTTATTGAGTTATAGAAACTTTGCATATTCTGAATATTAAATCCTTGTCAGGTATATTATTTAAAATATCTTCTCCAATGCTCCCAAGTTGCCCTTTTACTTTGTTAATAGTATCTTTAATATACAGGATTTTTTTATTCTAATGAACTCCAATTTATCTATTTTTTCTTTTGTTGCTCATATCTTTGGTGTTACATCTAAGACTCCATTGCCAAAATCCAAGGTCAGGATGATTTACCCCAGTGTTTTTCCCTAAGAATTTTACGGTTTAAGCTCTTATACGTGAGTCTTTGATCCATTTTGAGTTGATTTTTGTATATGGTACGAGGTAGAAGTCCAAATTCATTCTTTTGCATGTGGAAATCCAGTGTTGCAATACCATTTGTTAAAAAGACTGTTCTTTTCCCTGTGGGAAAACTTTTCTTTTTATAAGGATTGTGTTACATCCATAGATTATTTTTGGAAGTATTAACATAACCAGAGGCTGCCACAGCTGTGCACATGTGCACTTGGCCCCAGGATCTTCAGAGAAAAGTTATGGTGGTTCTAGGGTTGGTGATTCATCTGGTCAGCACCTCCTGCCCTAACTCCCCAAACCTCTGTGTGATTTATCTTCAGCCAGCCTTATCCCTTTGCACCTCTCCTTCAGCTTCCCTGCCTGGAGGAAGGGCAAGACTGGCCACAAGCGTCAGGTGCTGGGCCTGGGTTGGGGCCTGGAAGGAGTGTTGGGAGAGGGAAGCAGTGCACATATGAGAAGGAAGTGTGCATATGCGGGCAGTGTCCAAAGCACAGGCTGGGGAGATGGTTGAGGTCAGATTTTGGAGGACTTTGTAGGTTAGTGTGAGCTTTGCACTGGCTCCCTGTGCTACCCTGTCCTCACAGCCAAGTCCTGGTTCTGAACTTCCCCAGGCCCTGATGCAGAATGCTTTTCCTGCCCCCAGGTGACAGTCAAGAGTGGCCTGGATGAACTGGTGAGTGACCTGCTCCAGGAGGCCCACAGTGATCTAGAAAGGGTCCGAGCCATCTGGATCTGGATATGCCATCATATAGGTGAGCCTACCTGTGCTGCAGCTGGCTCTAGAACTCCTTGATGTCACTGTCTGCATGTCCCAGCTCCCATTTTGTCTGCACCAGTGAGTCCAGAGTGAGTTGCAAAGTTGAGGAGGACTCCTAGATGGATGGGTTAAGTGAGGAAAGACTAATCAAGGACCCTCCAGAGCAAGTACCCTCCTTCAGCAGGAGCTTTCCCTCCATCCTGGCTTCCTAAAGAACCTGATCTATAGAGACAAGGAGACTTAGGACAAAAGGTCATCTCCACAAAGGATTTCCACTGGTTGAGGAAGTCACGGTCGTTTGGAAAGTCATAGCAACACAAGAAGTTCCATAAAGTATCATTGCTAGGAAGGGCAGGCTCTGCTCTCCCTGCTCCCTGCTTCCACACTACTGACCTTGGCCACAGGGCTGAGCCCAGGCCCCAGGTTCTCAAGGGACAGTTTTGGGAATCTCATCAGGCCAAGCTAAGCCACAGCGGGGGATTCCAGGGGGATGCTACTCCTTGCTGAGTCTTTTGAAGGCAAATGAGAAGATGGAGGTGCCAAATCACAACATAGACTCCTAGTCCTTGGACAGGAAGAGCATCTAGGCCTCTCTTAACCTGTCATGAGGCTTTTTCTTTGTCCTTCTGGAGTCAGCTGACACAGATAGAGGGTATGACGTGGAGCCTGAGGGACTACATCCTCTCACCCAACCCTGACAGCAATGCCTGGTCTCATAGGGGCAGGAACAGAAAGAGAACATCCAGGAGAGACTTCATCTACTGCTCCCACCTGCATGAATGCATGTGTGCACATACAGCTCCTCCTGAAGCCAGAGAGCCAGAAAGCCTCCCTGCCTCCGCCTTGCTCTTCCTCTTTTCATTTTCATAAAAGGTGACATCTTCCCAGATGTACCTGGGTCTGGTGCCCTGGTTCCAGTCATCCCTCGGAGGCTTCCCTAGCCTGACGATGCACGCTGCTCGGCTAGGATCGGGGTGGTGATGATGCAGTGAGGCCTCTTCTCATCTCTGCACCATCCTCAGCTGCATTAGAGCCCTGGTTCCACATGGTCCCCTCTTCTGCCCTCCAGAGTATGACATTGAGGCTGCCCAGGAGAAGGATCGACAGGCCTTCAAGCCCACTGACATCCTGCGGACCCAGAAGACCAACTGTGATGGCTATGCTGGCCTCTTTGAAAGAATGTGCAGGTATGACTTGGCGGCCAGTGAGTGTCTCGTTCTGGGTGGACCTCCTGGCCCTCTCCCTCTGCTTCCAAAGCCTTTGCCACATGCCCGGCCTAAAGCCTGAGTTTGCAAACTCTGCTCTGGAATCCAAGTGAGTCCTGAAAAGGTCAATTTCTCCCTTTTTAACACCAGCATAATTGACTTTGTACCATCTGCCGAGCTTCGTGATGCATTAACATAATGGCAGATGAATGCATGAAGATAATTTGGTTATAAAAGGCCCCTTTTCTGCCTTCTCCCATCTCAGTGCAGCTGAAGGTTAAAAGAATAGCAGGCCTGGAAACCAGAGGACAGTGGCTATGCACTCCAAGGGGACTATGAAAGGGCTGTCCTTCAGGCTGGTGCTGGGGTCTCTTGTGTGGGAAACAAAAAACCTACCTGAAAGATCTGTCGGTTGGAAAGCTGAATAACCAGGAAGCTGCTGCCCTGGGCATCTTTCCACTCCATTTTCAGGGCTCTGGGAGTGAACATGTGTTGCTGGCCCAAGGGGAGAATGAGTCCTTGCTGGTTCCCTTTGGCCTCAAGACAGGCTCAAGGCTGGTGGAGCCCTGCTGACCCCCATAGTTTCCTGTGGTCCCTTTTTAAGGTCTCCTGGGTTCCTATAGGAACCAATCAGCTAGCCCTGGGCGCCAGCAAGGGGTCCCCTTTTCAGGAAGTAAGAGGGTGGCTGCCTGGCTGTCTGTGTCTCTGTAGGCCTCTAAGAATAGGTCTTCTCAGCCACCCAAGTGTCAGCCCACCAGGACTGCAGGTGACAAAAAAAAAACAAACCAAGCGCAGCAACAAACAGTCCCCAGCATGCAACTATGAGGCCTCAGTGTTGCACAGGCAGTGTAGGGTACCTGGTTCTGGGGGTACACACATCCTGTTCCTGTCCCGAAGCCACAGCTGGAGTGCCTCCCAGCCTGACCATCGTCACCAACCCTCAACATGCACCTGGCCCCAAGGTGCTCCAGCCCTCCTGCTCGGCTCCTTGCTCATCCCCTCCCTCAGATCCAAGGCCCAGCTCTGAGCCCACAGCCTCAGATGCAACCAGGGCAGGTCAGGGTGCAGAGCGCTATCCTAGCCACCCCATCCACCCCTCCAGGGCACCCGTTCCGCACTCCAACTGCCACCCTAGACTCACACCCAGGTATCCTTGCCTGTCTTTGGGCCTCCCAAGACACTGGATCCTCACTAGCCTCTCTGCCCAGGCTTGCCTGGCCCTGGCTTCCTGAGTCCAATCCAAAGCTCACACTGACCTACAAAGTCCTCCAAAATTTGACCTCAGCCACCTCCCTACTCTGTACCTTGGACATCACTCTCACTTCCCTCTCATGTGTACACCTCTCCCCTGTCCCAAAGCTCCTTCTAAGCCCCAACCCAGGCCCAACATCTTCCCCTCCTTTGATGTCCTTGGCATCCGTGTGTACCAACTCATTTGTTTCCTTATGCTCTAACTTAATAACTTGTTTAAATTAAAAAGCAGGTTCAGGGACTTAGTTCAGTGGCACTGCACCTGCCTCGCAAGCACAAGGTCCTGAGTTCAATCCCTGGCACTGCAAATAATAATAATAATAATAATAATAATAATAATAAATAGAAAGCCACTTGTTCATGATTTAAAGGCATAGAAAACAAAAAGCAGAAAATTAAGCGGCTCTGAAATAAGTAGAGAAAATGCTGTTAACATTTTGCCATATTCCTTTCCAGACTTCAACCTATGCCTATAGATATTACCTGTGTTCATTTCTCTTGCACCTTACAGGTCTTACACATCTTTATGTGTCTTTACCCCCTCTCTTTCTGCTTTCCCTATGACACTGATCTCAGAATCTTACACACAGTAGGCCCTCAATACATATTTTTAGAATGACAGGATATTCCTAGTGGACATGTGTATTCTCTCTCTCTCTTTTTTTTTTTTTTTTTTTTTGGTACTGGGGCTCGAACTCAGGACCTTGTGCTTTCGAGGCAGCCGTGGAACCACTGAGCTAAACCCTCGTCCCTTGTGTATTCTCTTTTAAATAATGAAATAACTACCTCTGGGAGAGTCCTGCTGACCCCCATAGTTTTGTTTCAGTCTGTTTTCAGCTGCATTTGTCCCTAGAATCTTTCAAAATATGATTGCATTCATCTGAATTTGTAAATTTGTGAACACTCTGCTTTTTGAAAGCTATAAGATAAATGCTTCTTTATGCAGTAAAAGCTTTCTAGCATGCTGCAGGAGTGGCAGATTTAAAGCTAGAAAAACTGGGGTTCCAGTCCTTAATTGAGCACTTAACTCATTTTGTTCCCTGTGGTGAGGCACTTAACCTCTCAGAGCCTCAGTTCTCCCTTCTGCACACTGGAGACTCTTACAGCCTACTTGGCAGGACTCTAGGACTCAGGGAGAATATGCAATTGGTGTTTGATCACCTGATTTCAGACTTTCCTGTCTTTCTTGCATATTAGTGTGCTTTTGCTCTGTGGAACTTTCCTACCAACTGCACTAGCCCACATAGACTCAGAAAATTGACACTTGCCTTGAGCGAAACTGTCAGCCTTTCTAGCTCAGCCAGATGCTTAACAGTGTCCATATTCTGGCCTGCAGCTGATCATTAAAATACATCCCAACATTTTGCACTAGTTAAAGTTAGTTTCAAGCTCATGGTTACCATGCACAAATTTCATCACACTGCCTGGGACATGTAACAATAGCTCACAGTTCCCCCAATTCCTTTAATTTTTACTTTAAAGATCAGTAACCTGTCCATGTATCACTTTCTTAATTTACTTTACCTCTAAAATAACTGCAGAAAGTTTGGTCAATTCATTAGCTAATTCTTTAATAACTGAAGACATGCAATTCGCACTTGCTGATTTATCCCTGCTTGGTTGTCAGGGCCGCCTCTTAGTAAGAGTTGTACCCACAAGGCCATCATTACTTCCTGCTAGTGCATTCTGCCTCCTTGGAATGGCCTCATTAAAGACTGATTTAATAAAGTAATTTGGTGGAGAATTCAGATATTTTCATAGCATCATTCATTTACACATTGCCTTTCGCAATTTACTGATGTGGGGGCTTTTCGTTAGTGCAATTGCTAGTAATGACTGGTCCAGTTTCTTTCTGACTTTCTGTCATCAAGCATTGTTTCTCCTTTTGCCTCAATTGCCCATAGCTAATTGATTTTGCCTAATTTCCTTGCAGGGGACATGGTTAATTCCCCAGGCTCCTGCCACTGAGACAACTCCCAGTAAATTATCTTTCCCTGCTGTCATGGCTCTAGCACCACCAGCTAGCAGATTTCCAGAGATTCTGGATAACCAGGATCTTATTGCCAATCTGAGGCTTTGATACCAAGTGGGCTAGTTGTTGCCAATCATGTGTCAGTTGACTTTTCATCCATCCTCCAGCTGTCACAGAGAGCAAGGGCAGAGGCATGCAAACTCAGATGGCTGCTTCTGCACAGCATGACATCCTCAAGGTCCTAAACCATGGCTTGATTCCAAATGTCTGCAAAGACAGGGGGCGGCCATAGCCTCCTGGGAAATGCAGATTCCCCAAGAGACGGATTGCTTTAAATTATTGCCAAATCTGACTTTGTTATGTAAGACCTCTGAAAGGGACATCTGAACTCCCCTAAACCTTGTAGATAAACTAAAAGATGATACAAAGATGAATTATATCATTATAGCAAATCATTTTCTAATTCCGCTCTAAGTTTATAAATTAAACTCTAATTTCATGCATAAATTTATGAATTAAAATGAAGTCTTGATTTACCAAAAGCTTGGTACAATGCAAAGGCTCCTAAACTGTGCCTTGGGATACTTGCATTCCAGGCTCACTTTGGCCACTAGCTAGCTGTGTGTCTCCAGACAAAGCAGACTTCCTCTCCAAACCACTGGTCCCTCACCTCTGGGGTCACATCTCAGGAGGCAGTACATGGTCCTTGGAGTGAGAATTAGCATTAGGATTACAAGTTACTCTAGTCATAAGATAGTGTAAGAAAAGGTAAAATGAGCACACAGCAGTAACACAAAAACACTGTTGAGTTTGCAAGAAATCAAGCACATAAATTCTAAGCTAAAGTCATGATTTGTTTATCTTGCTGCAGTACGGAAACCACACCATTTCCAACAAGACACTAAAAGAAAAGCATATTCATTGCCTCTCCTACACCTATGGGTCTTCCCTCTTCTCTCCCTCCCTTTCTATTCCCCTTGCTACAGAACTCCTGGGAGAGGCAATCACAGCAGGAGAGTCGACTGTGGTCATAACTGATATGAACAGGACACCTCTGCCTGCCCAGCCTTTCAGCCACACTGCTGGGGCCTGGCAGAGCCTAGGCTATGGCAGCATCACACAATGTCAATGGCAGGGCCTAGACCATGTCAGTATAAAGTGACAGTCTTGACTCACCACCTGCAAAATCAATACTGATGACACGCTTCACTAAAGTGGAAGCAGCAGCAGCTTCAGGCCTCTGAGGCCAGCCAGGGTACCACTGCCCTCTGCCTGCCTGCACCTCTTACAGTCTGTTTCCCATCAAGCTAGGTTGATGGTTGGGCAACCACGTGATCCTGGGCAGTCTTAGGGCCCCTCCCTCAGAACTTCCCAGGTTGGGTCCCTGAGCCCTGGCACTTCCTAGGATGGGACTGTGGCTTTCTCCTAATCCTCTGGGTGTACCAGGGGAGTTTACCAGGACATCTTTAATGCCCATTTCCTTTGTGGTTTGGGATACACATCAGCTGCTGTGGAGCTGGCATTAGGCTTGTCAAGATGGTCAAAAGGAAAAGCCAAGGCTGTTAAATTGATCTCATTGGGGGACATTAGGCTGTAGTATGGCTAGTCGAGCTCTTTGGCAGGTAAGCCATTTCTCAGTTTCTCACCATGGGCCCCTAACTCCCTTCACTGAGCTCCCCAGGAATTTGTTTACAGATTGTATTTTAGTGAAAGATCACAGATCTGCCCTCCTTCTAGCCAGGAACATACTAGAGCAGCCCCTGAGCCTTATTTTGGGAATAATACATTCAATTATATTGTACCGTGCTGTGTCATGCAATGGTATCTTACTGCCTGCTGCCTGCTTCTGTGCTTGGTACAGTGTATACAGTCGGTGGTCTTTGTTTTTTTGGTTTTTTGGTTTTTTTTGGTGGTCTTTGTTTTTGTTTGCTTGGTTAGTTGGTTATTTTTTGTTTTTTTGCAGTACTAGGGATTGAACTCAGGGACACTGTACCACTGAGGTATATTTCCAGCCCTTTTAATTTTGAGACAGTCTCACTATGTTGCCCAGGCTGGCCTTAAACTTGTGATCCTCCTGTCTCAGCCTTCCAAGTAGCTGAGATTATAGGCCTGTGCCTCTGCACCTGACAGTCAGTGGTCTTTTGCTGATGTGAGAGGGTCATGGGTCACCCTATCTAGACACAAAATCTCAACTAGTTCTACAGTCATTGTTTTATATATGGATTACTTGACTTTGCATGAAAACTATGGATTATTAATAATAATGCTTTCCATTATGACTTCCTCTGTCCAATTCATCTTGCACATGGCTGCCAGGTAATAAAATATCCGCATGTCACAGTCAAGCAACGGATAAGCTTATAGCTGAGTTCTTTTTTCATCTTTTTTCTGCCACAGGCATTCCCCATAGTCCTCCCAGATTCTCCTCAGGCTGTCAGAGGAGAATCATCCCCTGGAGATCACTTAATGCCAACTTTGCTATTTGCCCATGATGAGTCTGGCAAGGTCACACTGGAGGTTAGAGCTGGGAGACCCCTGATTTCCTGGCTTGGGCCAGTGGCCGCTCACTCCAGCTTGGAGCACAGGTGGACATCTGTGTCACTCAATGTTTCTTCCATCAGCCCTTTCCTGAACTAGGGGAGCTCTCGCTGTGTGTGCTAGATCTCCTCCCCACTTCACCCCTCACAGGGGGGATACCCCTGGGCACACTACTCAGAGCAGGCCTCTCCCAGCAGAACTTCCAGGTTCCCCACATCAGTGCCCACCCCAACTTGCCCCAACACCTGAAGACTGAACCAGTACTAAAAGTGCCTCCTTCCTCCTTCACCCCAGGGGCCTCTAACAGAGGATAAACATCAGCGAGCCGTATGTCCAGAGGCCCAACAGCTCCACTAATCAGTTCACTTTAAGCAAAACGAGCCATTCGCTAAGTGCCATGGTTCCCTGGACCCCCCTTATCCTTCCACGGACTACTAGAAATTCATAGGCACAGGTGTCCTCCACAGCAGTGGAAGGTGATTCACCAAAGGGTATAATTAAGTAGTATTTATGAATTTTTTTCCACTTCTAAAAGTAAAACATAATCTTTATTACAAATTTCAAAAATATAGAGGAATTTAAAACAGAAAATTAAAATCACCCCATATCCTATTACTTCCTATTCTAAGAGAACTGGTGGCTTTTGTTCTCTCTCTGTCTCTGTCTCTCTCTGTCTCTGTCTGTCTGTCTGTCTGTCTCTCTGTCTCCTCCTTACCATCCAAGTACAAACATTATTTGCATACACACAGACATTGTACTGATTGTAAAATTTTAACACTAAATTAGAAGTATGACTTACCATCCTAATCTTTCACATTTTTCTCCTCACTCAGTCTGAGTGGATGCAGCCTTACCTGCTATTGAAAGCTCATGCTCCCACTCATGGCTCCCTCCCACCCTCTCTCCCTTCCCTGCTGGCTTTGTACTCTAAGACTGCAGCATTGCCTGCGTCTCCCCACGTGGGTGCACTCCTCTGGGCCCCCATGCCCCCAGCATGGCCAAGCACCTGCTTGCTGTGCGCTCTGTCACAGAGAGATGAGGCCCAAGGAACACCATGTCTGCGTGTCCCATGGCCCATAGACCCCTGGTGCCTACTGTTTCTGGGCAGCTCTTCTGCACTAGATGTCATTTGGGGCCACTATCAACAGAAAAGTTCACCATCGAGGTATAGTTACTCTTGCTGTCTGCCCCTAGGACCCCAGGTGCTCTGAATCCCACTGTGTGTGCTCATGAGATTCCCTGGGGAGTCAAGGAGGCCCAGACCTCCCGTATGAAGCTGTGGGAGAAGGTAAAGGCTGCCAAAGGCCCTCAGCCTGAGTGGCCCAGACTGTGTATGTAGAGGAGGGTTAAGGCTGATGTGGTAGCACACCAAGAAACACAGATGGCGAGGGAACTAGAACCCAAATCCTCAGGACACCACAAGTTAAATCAATGACTTTCTCAACAAATGATCTATAGATATAGTTCAGTAATATTTAATCCAATTTTTGGACCATCGCTGTACTAAATGTGTGGCCATTTCACCCCACTACCTTGAGAGACCCCTTGGTCCTGATGTTTAGAGTAACTGGGGTTGTACACCTGGTCCATGGCAGAACCTGGCCCCAGAGAACCACCCACTACTAGAGGTCCCACTGCATCCTAGACTGCAGATTTAGCTCATTTGAGGGGTGACCAAAGTCTGCACCATGTGGGGGGCTGGGAGGCTAGTGGGATGCCAAAGGAGCCCCATGCAAGGAGCACCCTGCACATCCAGGAGGTTGTAGCTTTCCTGGTTTTCCATAAGGGCAAGAAAAATGTTTGGAGAAGGTATTTCTTTCCTAATTTGCACAAAGACCCCAGAAAGGCTAGCATGGTGAGCCCCTGGGGTCAGATCAGCCATGGAGTGACCCACACAGTTCATCACATGGGGACAGGGCTGCTGAGGAGGAAGCCCTGCAGGCCATGGCAGGACATTCCGGGGTCTCACTTTAACCTCAGAGTAGTGCTCACAGCCCAAGCTTCAACCTCAGTGTCTGATTTTATGTGGACCACCAAGGTGACCAGCACCAGAAAGTTGTGCCAGCTTAGCTTGAGCAGTGGGAGAGGACACTATCAAAAAGACCCCAAAGCTCCAACTAACTGGCAAACATTTTCACTCCTTCCAAGACAGTTACAGTAGACTCTGGAGTGGTGGCCACAGCAGGCAGGCAGTGAATGACATTAATACAGTATGGTGGTTCTTGTACCACCTTTGCAGAGGACAGACCTGCAAGCCAGTCCTCTGTTGGTCACTGCTAGAGACACCAGTCTGTCTGTCCTTCAGGTCCTCATGCAGATGGGCTTGCAAGGGCGCAGCCAAGGAAGTAGGGCTGAGCTTTCTCTGCAGTCAGACCAGCACCTCCTGAGGAGCCCTGGCCCTCCCAGCCTCTGTCCTCACCTGTCATTTGTAGGTTTTGCTCCAAGAACATCATTTTTCCCTGGTTCTAATGGCATGCTCACTCTAGCCTTCACTTTTCTTCCCTGAAGAGCTGCTCTCAGATCATGTCAAGCAGGCTCTGGGGAGTCATTGCAGAAGTGATTTGAACAGCCTCGGGGGAGGAGCAGATGGCAGGGCCTGCAGCCAGTCTGCACTGGCAGGACCAGCCAGCACTGTGTCCTCTGTCTTCATCCCCAGGGATGAAAGCTCTCAAGGATGCATACGTGTGAATGTGTGATAGGGAGGAAAAAGGAGGGACAGGAAGGATCTATGGACTGCAGGTATGACAGGCAGATTTGGGGGCCATCCCAGTGGAGTCCCCTCTCAGATCCCGTGTCATTCCTAGGATTGCTGATGTCCAGTGCATGACAGTGCCCGGTTATTCCAAGGGCTTCGGCTACCAGACAGGGCAGAGCTTCTCTGGAGAGTTTGACCACGCCTGGAACGCTGTGTACCTGGAGGGCAGGTGGCACCTGCTGGACAGCACCTGGGGCAGCGGCCTGGTGGACAAGGCCACCTCAAAATTCACGTTCCTGTAAGCACAAGTCAAGGTTGGGCTGAGGGTCTTGGGCATGGGGGAGGCACAAGGTAGAGAAGGCTGTGGGGAGGGAAGAGCAGGTGTTCTTATGGTGTTGCTGACTGTGCCTATCCACCCACAGGCTGGGACAGGAGCTAGCTGCAGGTCCAACCTTTCTGTGACCTCTTCTCCACTAACTAATTCCCTCCTTTGGGTCCCTATTGCTCCCTTCACCTAAACCTCATGAGCCTCAGCATTGGCCCCAGGTCCCATATGAGGAAAACCAGGCCAAGGTGCCAGCTCTGCTCTCAGGCCTTGTCCTGATTACCATGCACAGATACCAGAACTGTCTACTACCACTTCCTTAGACACCAGCCTCCTTCTCCAGGCTGAGGAAGGGCCATGGTTTCTGGAAAGGAGTGCTGTGGTTGCTGCAGAGTTGCCATGGACCACAGTGGGCAGAGTGGCTGGCATTAGACTGGACCGGTTCAGTCCTGCAGGGCTCTGGCCTTAACCTAAGTCCACAAAAAACACTCTCGTGGGTCACAATGGCCATCAGCAGCTCAGATTCTACTCAGAAAAGTAAGAGTGTTCTGTGACTTTTGCAGCTTATATCTTGACACTACCACACTGGGAATAAACAGGCCAGGTGCCCACAAATCCTGCCATGGCGCTCACATGTTCACAGATACTTCTTTTACTTTGACCACTCAGAATGTGGCTCCTTCAGGTGGAGAGAAGCCTCCCCATCTCAGGATGACTGCCCCATTCTCTCTGGGTCCCCAGAGCTCCCAGGCCTCTAGAGCTCCAACCCCCTAGCTGGCCGAGGGTGCCACAGAAGGCCCCACCACATCTTCAGAAAAGACATGGGGCTGATGGAGGTGTGCATTTGAGCCCTCTACTTCCCCAACTCCCCGCTGTGCCACTGCCGAACACTTGTCCATAGGTTACACCTTTGCACCCTCAGATTTCTTTTTAGTGTTGAAGTGGGGGGAGCCTTTTCCCCCCAGACACTTAAGGGCACAAAGATCACACCACAATTCCCAAATGTGGCCTTCTATCACAAGGTGCCTCAGGTCTTTCTTTGGCTCCAGTGTCCAGAAGCAGCCACCAAGAAATCTCTAGTGCCCATGTTAGGATTGGTGACAGCACTGCTTCCCCATCAGGTTGATGGCCATACCCCTGGCAGTGTATCAACCAAGAGAAGACCCCCAAGTCCCCATGAGCCCAGTCCACAGAGGGGCTGAGTAAGGCAGCCAGGCAGGTACACTCACCATGGCTCCTGACCAGCTCTTCCTCTGCCCCAGCTACAACGAGTTCTACTTCCTCACCCATCCCGCACTGTTCATTGAGGACCACTTCCCAGACAACAAGAACTGGCAACTGCTAAAGCCTCCTCAGTCTCTGAGGCAGTTTGAGAACAGCATGTATCACAAGAGTGAGTTCTACAACAAGGGGATGCTGAGTGCCCACCCGGACGTGTCCATGATCAGAACAGGTAACCTGGGCAGGTGGCCAGGTTATGAACCAGTGGCAGGGACAGAGCAGCCCTGGCTGCTCCAGCCAGGGCCCATATGGGCATGTGGGTATGCAGGGATGGCAGATAGCCCAGGCCATCAGCCTATCAGGGCAGGGCATAGCTATAGGTCACATTGATGGAGACAGAAGCCCTCTTACCCTAGCAGAAGCCAAGAAGGGGATATGTGAGAGGCTGTGGGTTTCCTGGCACACAGGAGCCAGAGCTGGAGGGTCCTGAGCTAGGTACATCTCTCCCGGCTCATAGAGCAGGGCACAGGCTGCTCAGCACCCACGCACCCCTGGCGCAGGTGCCTAACAGAAGCTGCCTGGCCTGCTGTGTTTTCCTCTCAGACTCCTGGCCAGGAGAATGTGTGGCCCCTAGGGGCTGTAACTGTGTGTCAGGGGTCTACCTGGCAGGTTGGGGAGCCACAGGGCTCTCCCCAGGACAGAGGATGGGACCAGCTGCCACAGGGAGATGGCTAATGATGTGAGGGACAGCTAGGATGGACATGTGGTAGGCAGTGGGAGCAGAGGAGAGGAGTGTGCTCAGTAGCCCTCCAACCTCCATACTGAAACACCCCAGGAGAGGGCTCAGCCTGGCCTGCTCAGAACCCCTCCTTCTAGAGGCAGGACCCAGCCTTTCCTAGGGCTGCCTAGGGCTGGACAGTGCAGAATACCAAACTTAGCTGACTCCCACAGCTGGCCTGGGGGACAGTTGCTGGCCTGGGGGACAGTTGCTTCCCACCTCTGCAGAGGGCCCCCACTGGCCAGGTGTATTTTCATGCTCAAAGGAGCATGAGGAGACAGAGCCAGGCAGCCAGAACCATGGACCTGGGCTGCAAAGGGCTTTCTCTGGAGGCATCCATGCATGAGGCCAGGGAGGATGCTAGGGTGGCCTCAGACCCACCCACACAGCAGAGTGATGGGAGCAACCGGGTGGACAGGTGCCCCCAAGTTAGCTCCAGCTGGTGTATCTCTTCCATCTCCCAATGGTTTTCTTAACCAGGTTGCTGAGCTCCTGCACACTCTTCAAAGCTACAAATATCTGGCAGCTCCTGCTGCTAAAATAACAGCGTGAGGTTGCTCACTTTGAGAATCTGTTCACTGTGCTTGCATCAAATGGAGGCCTGTTCAGTCTGCTGTGGGCCATTGAGCCACAGGGAAGAATCGACCAGGCCAAAACAAGAGCACGCTATGTCACTGAGTTGAGTTCACATTTTCAGGAGGCATAAAAACGTAAACACCAGATTTTTTAATCTGGAGTAATCTCAAACATGCTTTTATTGGTGTAGAGATTTACACTAAGTGTAGAGATGGAAAGAAGCAAAAGAGAGAAACTGAAGGGGCCATAAAGGAGGAGCAGGAAAACAACCCCAAGATGGGGAGATAGAAAGCTGCTGAGCACAGGGAAAGAAAGCTCAGGAGGGGAGAGGGAAGGAGGAGGCAGAGTGGGGCCCGTGGGTTCATCCTTCTCTTGAAGACTTCCTGTCAATCAGTGCACCTTTGCCAACCCCCCTCTGGCCAGATCCCACTACTGGCTCTGGTGCATGACAGAAAGTGGAACAAGCTCTTCCCAAACAGCCTTCAGCCCACCCAAGGACAGACATTGCACAGAAATGCTCACATAATTGATCACAGTGGCAATAATTTCTCTGAAGAGAGCCAGGGCCGGGAGAAGGGATTCCAGAGAACCCCAGTTCATGTGAGGGATGGAGACAGGCTTGTTTACGGAGGGCCGTTAGGGTGAGGCCTTAGCAGGTTCAGGAAAGGTGTTCATGAGAAGCATAGCTCAGACTGCCTGTCTCTTCCTTTGCCTGCTTCCACCCACGGATGAGGCTGGGGAGGGTGTTGGGGTGAAAGGCAAGTAACCAGCTTCTGAGAGAAGGTGAGGCCAGGCTCTCAGGCCACTGCCCCTCCCTGTGGTCCTGGGAGCCAGGGAGGACCAAGTAGGTGAGTCCTCACAGACTACAAAAAGCAGGGAACTGACCACCTGTCTCTGAGAAAACAATGACCAGGACACAGGATGGCTATATGGCAGGGAGGCGGAGAGGGGGTGAAAAGACCCTTGGTGCACACACTGCCTCATCAAGGTCCCATTCCAGGAACACAGTGAAGATGCCTGTGTGACAGCACGGGCGGGGCGGTGGGGAGCAGAGGTGGAGCCTTTCCGGCTTGTTTAAAGTAACTGTTGACAGGACAGCTGTTGACACCATAATGAGCACATGCTGGAGGGAGGGGAAGCAGGACCTGAGAGTTGGAGGAGGTGGTGCCTTTCCTGCCCCTTGACCCTCTAGGCAGCTGGAAGCTAATACAAACCAGATGGGTGGGAGGAGCACAGATTTGTCCTAAGTCCCCAGCCCACCCCTAGCTATCAGCTCTCCCTAAAGCAGATAGACAACCCCTTCCAGGGCTGTACTATAGCTGGCTGATACCATGTTCAGTGACATCACATCGGTTACTTAGTCAAACTTGATAACAAGGTTTATACCACAGAAATGGGCAAATGCTATAATTCAGAGCACGCCCCTCAACAAGAGAGCTAATTGTTAAGCATTTACCAGCACACATGGGAATCATCTCACCCAACCCTTAACTCTCTCCCCAGTGAATGGGAAGGCTACGATCACCATTGAGAGCTGTGCCCCAACGCTGTTCATGTTCATGCTCAACGGAAAGCAGGAACATGGGCTACTGAACCTCCGGAAGAATGGGATGAAGCTAGAGGTGTACCCTCCAACCATGGGCACCCATAAGCTGCAGATTTTTGCCAAGGGCAACTCAGACATCTACAGCTCAGTGCTGGAGTACACAGTCAACTGCAACTACGTAGACCTGGGGGTCCAGCTGCCAGCTGAGCTACACCAGCCTGTGGGCCCCAGCTGGTTCTCGGAGCAGATGGGGATCCTGAAGCCCTCGCACCCTGACCCTGTCATCCACACCAGGGATGGACGCTGCTCCATCAGCTTCGGCGTGGAGGAGGGCATCAGTGTCCTGGCTTCCCTGCATGGAGATGATGCCCTCATCACTGAGGAGACACAGCGGCGCTATATCTTCCAACTGCACCGGGAGAAACGGATTGAACTGAAAGTCCAGCTGCCCCATGCCGGCAAGTTTGCCCTCAAGATCTTTGTCAAGAAGAGGCAGGAACCGGGCAACTACATCTTCGTCTTCAATTACCTCCTGTGCTGTGCCAACACCAAGGTGAACTGGCCTGTGTTCCCTGAGAGCTTTGGCAACTGGGGACAGGACAATGAGCTGCTGGAACCTCTGTCCGGTGTGCTTCCCGCCAACCGGAATGTCCCGTTCAAACTGAAGCTGCATGGTATCGCCAAAGCCCTGGTGAAGGGGCAGGACACATGGCCCCTGACCCTGAATCACGAGGGCTACTGGGAAGGCAGCTGCAGCACAGCCGGCTGCCAGGAGGTCTACGTCATGGTGCTGGAGAACGCCAACCACAACTTCTACTCCTACATCCTGAAGTACAGAGTGAACACCCAGTGAGGGCCTGGGCCCCACATACCCTCCCAGGGGGCCATGGCCAGCCCTACCCAGGAGAGGCCAAGTGCAGAGAGTCCTGGACACCACTGAGTCTGCATAAAACCATTTCTCAGCCTCTACCTCAGTCTCCCTGCTCTGCTGCAGGTGCTGGGATATTTATGTTCTAAAGGCTTCACTCAGTATGGCCATGGCTAAAGGGACAGAGGTGAAGGCCCTTAGAAGAAAAAGGTGCTATGTAAATCCAAGATATTGTGAACTGTACACCAGTGCCCAGATGCTCCCTTTTTGTGCTAATGTTGTTACCATAGGTAGGATTGATGTGGGAAAGCAGGGATGTTGTCCAAGCTGAAAGCTTTCCATGTGATGCTTAGAGAATTCTCCTCCATAGCCCAGAGGAGCATGACATGTAAGGCTGAGTCTCCCTTGGATCACGGAGCCCCTTCCAAGTAGCAAACGATGCCTCTTCACAGCTTCTGGACTCCAGGGGAAAATAGACCTGACCGTCTTCTGCATCCCTGCTGCCTCTTCATTAGCCACTTCTTGCTCTTCAAGAGCCCGGGGGAAAAACGGTGTGAGAGGAAGCTATCTGACTCCTGAGCAGCAGGGACTGTGACAGCAAAAGCAGAGAGCAGCCAGGGCCACTCACAGACATCCTGGGTGGGGGGTGGAATGGTTCTTTGGCAGTCTTGTAACCCAGTCTTAAGTCCCCTGGCTCAGGCTCCTACAGGAGCACAAAGCGCAATGGTTCAGCCTCTCTGGTCCAAGCCTCAGGGCTGGCCTTGCCTTTCTGGGAGCCTCCAGAGGCCAGCTAAACCTGTCAGGAGCTTGATAACAAAGCTCAGTAGTCGCCCCAGGCCAGGCAGGGAGATGAGGTGAGCAAGCAGTATGGCAGAAGCAGTGCTCAGGAGATTCACTTGGGCCACTGCCAGCCGAGAGCCCCTGCCAACAAAGCCAGGATGGGGGACCTGCCTGCTCTGGAGCAGCTTTTGTGTTGTGGCTGAGAAAAAGTCCTATCCCATCTCCTTTCTTTTCTAGAAATGAGACCCCACCCACCCACCCAGGGCCCCGCCTTGTATGGGGACAGTTGAGGCCTTGGCTTGCTCAGGCTTGTCCCAAGAAAGCCCCAGCTGCCCAGTTGGCCCTCAGCAACGCCTGAGGCTGGTGTTGCCATGGTAACAGTGGGAGGTGGGGGAGAGAGGGCAGCAGAAAAGGAAGGCTGAGAGACGCCCCTCAAGGACAATGCACTAGCATCCTGGCACATGGACACACTCTGAGGTGGTCCCTGCTGAACCCCTGGAGTCCTCAGTTGTGTCACACCTGCCTGTCTCAGAGCTCCTGTCCCTGACAGCTGGCCATACCCAAGCTCTCCTGACAGCCCCTCCACATGGCCCCAGGCACAGTGGCAGTCAGAGCCAGCCTGGACTGCTCATGCCTTCCTTCTCTCATCCATCTTCATGTCTGTGCATTCATTAAGTGCTCATGGCACATAGTAAGTGCCAAGGGCTGTACTAGATGTTGAGATTACAGAAGTAAAGCAAGGGGACCCAGTCACAGCCGCCCAGGGCTCAGAGTAGGTGACTGGCCAGAGGCACAGCCTCCCCTGCCCCAGGACCTCTGAAGTCCCAGGCTCCCACTGTCCAGTCCATCATGCCCTGGGGTCCCTCTTCCATAGGTCCCCACTGGCCCCCAACAGGGACCTGGCCCAAAGCCAGGTCACAGGCTAGGACCCAGCTTTCACCAGGTGCAGGCCTCACACATGTGGGATGCCGCCTAGGGGGCTGAGGTGCCCTGGCCTATGTCCAGCTCTCTCTAACAGAGCCACAGACCACCATGTCATTCAGCCTCAAAAACGTACAGAGGCCTAGGAGACAAAACCACTGTGCCCCACCACAGGGAAACAAGGGGAGTCTTCACACCCTGAAAACAGCCCTTCTCTCGCATATTTGATTTTAAGGGCTGAAAGAAACCTGCTGTTTTATCAAAATAAGTGCCTTCTAAGGCTCATGTCACTCCCCGGACCCACCACGACTGCCACAGATAGCCCTGCAGAAGACGACCCACATCTTTCTAAAACAATGTGATTAATCAGTACACCCTGGAGCGTGTAGAGCACACCAGCCAGCAAAGCAGGAGCTGTGCCCAGCACCAGAGGGAAGCCGGGCCTCTCCAAGCACCCGCAGGGCATCCGAACGCCCTTCCCCACTCATTTAATCAGGCACCCCCTTTGTAAAGACAGCTGTAGGCACAGTCAGAAAATCACCTGCATTTCTTTACACAGAAGTAAAAATACGTGAAACGAAATCCAATCTTCACGAATTTTTACATGCATGCTGCTCAGGCTACAAAATCCGAGGTTGCATGTTGAAGGCTTTTATTCAAACGCCCATCTTTGTTTCCCGGTCGCCAATGGCATGGCACGAGTGCCCCCTGGTGCCCGCAATGCGGGGCCGCCGACGCTGCATTGAGACTGCATCTACGGACTTTTTTTTTTTTTTTACTGAAACTTGAAATACACTGTTGAGATGTTTATGTTGAAATCACGGGGTGCTTTCTCGTGGTTTCTCAGCGTTTCCTCATGTGTACACGGAGCACATCTTTGCCATGCACAGCTGTGAGGGGAGCCTGAAGGGCTGCCTAGCATGGTGAGAAGACATAAAATGCGGTAAGAATTGGGAGGTTTTTTGCCCGGAAATCCCTTCTTGAAACAGAAACCTCGGATGCAGGACTGGATGGGGCAGCTTTGATCACACGTATTACTATGCCAATGGAAGTCTGATCAAATCAGAGAGCATTTGCTTACAAGTCCCAGGATGGGTGCCAGGGAGAGGGTGGAGCGGGGGTCGAGGGGGGGCATCTATCCTGCAATTAACTTCTTTTCACCTTGTTTCAGAAGTGCCACCATCACTGCTGGACTCTTACTTTCAATCTGATTGTGATCACTGTGAATTCCCCATATGTTACATTGTCTCACCAGGACAAACTCCTCACAGCCTGCTGAGATTAAAGAGAAATAAATAGATGAACTGAAGCATGAAGGATTTGGGCTAGACAAAGAACTGTTTCCGGTCGTTGAGCTGGAGGGACACGTTGCCAAGAAAGTTTGTGAAATTCTCTTCTCTAAGGACTTGAAAAGGAGAAACGTTTTCCCAGTGGTCTGGAGTTTTATTTAGAAGCCACGCTCGATGGAAGGATTAGGCTCTTTGTAAACCAGTTAATTCTTTAAATACACTGGTTGGCCCGCGGCAAACACAGGGTTAACGGTATTGCCTCGCTGTTCACTATTGGCAAAGGTTTCAAAGGTGGTGTGCATCTGTGGCCCACAACAGTTTATCTGAGGTCTATAATTTCTTTTCATTGGGAATAAGTAGCTGGAGGCCAGAAGAGGTGATTACTTCTCACAATATGTGCACTGAGTTGTGCGGGCCAGTGGTTGTTGAGTGTGCTTTCCCCCACATTGTTGCCGGTGTTGTTTTTCAATAAAATTTATATTCATTTTTATCCAACAATGTAATTATTGATCCATTCTTATCACTGCTCTCATGAAGGGGGAGGAATAAAAACACAAGAAAAAGCACTTTCATGTTCAAAGGGAGCCCTCAGAAAAAAAATCAATGTCCCAGCCATTTAAATGTGATGGTGAGATGTAAATGGAATGTCAGGCAAATAGCTATTCCACATTAAAGAAAACATAATTAGGTTAGCTCCTTCCCCTGTATGGCTCACATGCCTTTGAAGAACATGAAGGCAGTGTTTCTTTCATTGACTCTTGTTCAACTTGAAATTTAGAGTCAACCCAAATTTCTTCTTATAGTGGGAGGGAAAAAAAGTAACAAAAATGCCCATCAACCTAGTTTTTGGTTTTGAATATATAAATATAGATAGATACAGACATAAATATAGATAATATAGATATTCATATACATGCAGAAACTTTCTAGCAGGTTACCTAAACAGATTATTCATAAATTAGACATGTAGGAGAATATAGAAAATGGAAATATAGACACCTCTGAGAAGCTGCTGTAACCATGGAGACCATTCTCATAGCTATAGTGTGAAGGACAAAAAGAACTTGCATTCCTAAATCTGTGCTTATCATGTCCCTCGCTGCTAGATCCACAAAACCAAGACACAACATGCATCTCCTTGGGAAGGAGGCTTGGGTGGACCGTGTCTTTAACAGCACACTAAGGAAAAGTCAGAAGATAGGGTTTTCTGCACAATAGAAGGAAGAACTCCCAAATTATCACAACAGTCTGAAAATGACAGCCTAGAGGCTCAAGTATATGAACTCCAATATCCCTTCCAGTCTGGAGTTTGTGAAGGTGTGTCTCCGTGAACAGATGCTGGCAGGCACAGGGTCCGGGCAGTCAGTCACTGGACATCTGAAGGGTCCCACTGTGTTAAGAGCCTGCTCCTCCAGCTCCCTCCCCCTACCCCACACTGCGCTGCCAGCCCTTCTCTTGCCTCAGGGCACAGGAATGGAGTGGGCCCAGCAGAGGGACCAAAGGGAGCCAATAGGGCCTGACAGGATGTTGGTTCTGATTTTGCAAGCAGAACTAAAGAAAGTTAAGACACCTGGGCTGTGCTCTTTTGGATGCTGCACAGGCATTTCCTGTGAAAAGATGCTAAATCGAAGACACTTTTCTCCCCCAGATTACCTCCATCTCTTCCTCACTTCCCAAATCAGTAAATGTGTCCCTAGCCACCAGCTCCCTAAGGCAGACCTGTGGAGGTAACCAGGGACTCCTCCCCTACCTCTACCTCATGATAGAATCAAGGCCATTCTGGGGCATCTTGTTCCTGACCTGCCAACCCGCCTCCACAGCTGTCCTGTGTGGTCACTCCCTATAATGAGACAAGCCCCACCTGCTCTGTTACTGTCCACACTGGCCTCCCGTATGAGCACAAGCACAACCGAGTTAAGGCACAGTTTCCATGAACGCCTTCCAGCAGAAGCTCAGCGACCTTGAAGAAGCCATAATCTGCATCAGGCACTGGTGGCCTCAAACAAAAACTAGTTTTAATTGTGAACCAGAAAAATCCCAGTTTCTTCCTTTTTCTCTAAAGAGACAAGGTGCCGAGGTCCTCACTCCTGGATAATGGTATATAGGATGGCTCCTTGCACCACAGCCTGATGGGGGATGGTAGCAGGGCCAGTAGGGGACCCTCACCAGCAAGTGAACAAGCTGCTTCTTGTAAATCAGTTATCCACATCCCTGGCTCAGGTTATCTTCCTGTTGTCCTCATGGACCACAGCAGTACTGATCACATGTTCAGGGGTACCCACTAGATTCTCTGGGAAGCAAATGTGGAGGCAGAGTTAGGAATGCAGTCAGTGTGCTTCGAGGTTAATACCAATGAAAGGTGGAAAGGAGGGAAGCACAGTCAGGCAGAAAGCCCCTCAGACAGGGTGCAAACCTGCCAAGTCCCATCCAGCCAACAGGGAGCTCCAGAGCAAAGACCTCCTGATGGAAGAGTGTCATGCTGAGCAAAAATGACCAAGTCCTAGATAACCCACCATGTTCCACTCCTGGTTGGGGCTGCCTAGGCAAAGCTCAGCCTCCATTCAAAAGCTAAGATGGGCTCTGGAGGAGCTAACAGCTGTAGGCTCTCAGTGAACTCTACCCCTTGCAGTTAATCAGCCCCTTCTTTCAGACAGGGAAGTCTGGGCAGCACCCTCTGTGTCTGCCACACAAGTACATTTGGCTATGATGTAGAAGATTCAGAAAAGATTGGGTGAAGGTTATGGAAGTGCAAGCCACTTACCCAAAGCCTTCTGTGGCCCAGGAATCACTGGTGAGGCTCCACAAGCTGTTTCATGGAAGGGACTCTGGGTCGGACTATATCCAGACCAGTGGGGACACAGGTGTCCAGAAAGCTAGCCCTGCATCTGACAACCAGTCACCTGGCAAGCCACAGGTCCCAGGATGCTCTGTGAACCCTAACCACTCTGAGCTCCAGGAAGATTCTACCCAATAGCCCTCACTGGAGCACACAAGTGCACTCCAGAGAGAAAAGCCAAGCCAAACTAGCTTGCTACATCATCGCT